AATCCCCCCCAAACTTAATTCCCAACCAATGTGGGACTTTGGCATTTTGCCAAACTTCAACATTAACCATTATGAGCCAGAATTAAATCTATAGTGGCCCAAACCTGTACTTTTTCATGTTAGACAAAGGATGAACAGAATCGAAATTTTATAAGCAACTATGCTGCTGTTAACATTCTCTGGCGACTCCAGCTCAACATGTACAAGAGCTGCAGCTTTTGGGAACCAACACCACCAACTAAATGCAATAGAAAAACTAAACGACGTGAAAAAATTCATGTTATATAGATATTTCATCCGCGTTGATGCGTTGGTACTTAGTGCGGATTCTTCAAAATGCGATTAAAATTAGCAAAATTCTGCACGAACGCTGCTGGATAATTATGCAGACGTTGTATCAGAAAGTTCCTGCAGATGAGTCCATGTAACTGGAGATAAAATTTACATATGTTTGGACTGTGTCATCCTAATAAATTGTATAGAAGAAAGGTGATATAGCTATTTTTCCTACAAATCCCAAACAACTAATTAAAACATGTTCACGAGTTTAATATCTGATTGTTAAGCCATAGCTGGAAAAATATAGTTAATCAAATTTACAAAGATGAGTCTCTTTATTCAAGTAACTACCCTTTATCAGGAGTAGCCAATGTTTAACCCACGATATTGGTCTTCGTTGTTCTTATTTAACCAAAACTTCAGAATTCTCTGTCTCGTTATAGGATATAAGTATTTCGTATGCAGGACACATTACATATGGTTCCTTTGATTCAAGTTCAGATGCTTATAGTTAATCCAATTCTCATATCTAGATAGCTACTTAAAGAATCATTTTTTACTTTAGGAGCTCCTGGCAAGCTGCAACACAAGTTAACTTGTCTAGCATTTCAAGAGTTAAGATTAAGTTCAGGGCCAAGTTTGGAAGCTCCTGCAGGAACATCCCATTTCCCTTTGTTCTGTTGGTATGTGGTGATGGTTAATCCATATTTTTAATGAATAAATGCTTTAACAGAACACCAAGTTAAAGGTAGGGCCTGTTGTCTTGAACATCAATAGTTTTGGCAATGAGTTGAAAGGCAAAACCATGTTGCTTCAGGTGCTATTGTCTTCAGCTGGTACCTACAGAATTAACACTTCACCACTGATTAATATGATTCGGCGAGTTTCCATATCGTATATAAACACATCCAAGGAAGTCTTTACCACCACAGCTCTCAGCAAAACTTACAAGTATTCAAAGCTTTATCTGCTTTTGAGGTCTTTAGTAGTTCATATTTTCTCTCCTCGTTCATACTAAAGCTAAAAGAATCATGGCTATTCGTATGCCTCGTATAATCAAGAAGTCTTCCACATCTGCAGATGTTCCCAAAGGATATTTTGCTGTGTATGTCGGAGAGGAGCAGAAGAAGAGATTTGTGATCCCCATATCATTCTTGAGGGAACCCTTATTTCAAGACTTGCTAAGTCAAGCTGAGGAAGAATTTGGTTTTGATCATCCAATGAGCGGTCTCACAATTCCCTGCAGAGAGGACGTCTTCATCGACCTTACTTCTCATTTGAGGAACTGACACGAAAACTTGTTTTCACAATTTTGTAAAGTTGGATCTGCATAGTTTGTAGAGTTGAAGAGTTGGAGAAAACTGTAGTTAAAATGAGGAATGTTAGTGAACTTAACTCCACAAAGCCTGTTTTGTTATTCATGTCAAAGAGATGAATGACTCTTTTACTTTTTTCTACTTCAAAGAAAATGAAGTATTGAGCTTTTTCCCATTTATGGTTCCACATCCGGTTAGCATTGGTATTTCTTGTACTTATGATTCCATATGCTCAACTCCCGTGTTTTTCTCCTTACGAAAGCGATTAACATTGCGTACGAAATGCATTTCTGACTTTTAAGTCACAAGTGGATATATTAACTTTTAATCCGATATATAGAAGGATGAGTCTCTTTTTTCAAGTCAAACATCCTTCTTCTGGAGTAGCCCATGCATTATATTAATGTTTTAACCCTCCATTCCACTGATTCACAAGCTTTCAATCTAAAAACCTTACAGCAGACGCATATCTGAGCTCGTTTTTTTCTTTTCTATCTCCCTATTTAACCAAAACGCAAGAAGTGTGTCAGGAATAAGATAATGATTCATATTATGATTTTAGTTGTTGATCTAATTATACCAGAGAGCCATTATATAGTCATTTTCGACTTGAGGACCTACTCAGGGTGCTGGACATAAAGTATCCGGGCATCTTTTAGTCCAAGGAGGTCAATATAACTAAATAATTCATTCCTTCACCTCACCTTAATTGAGAGTCTTTTCCGCTATATTGTCATGAAAGTAGGAGCATCTATTATTCACCAAAATGGTCTCAAATTATAAGTACAGCACAAGGCCATATAAGGCAAAGTCATATGATACTTCATATGCTACTGTCTTTCAAAGACATCAATCAAATTAATTTTCACCACCTATTATTAGTTTTTTTTTTGGGTACCATGATCAGAAGCTTCATGCTAGTTTCTCTATCAACTGTGCTTTTAAATTCCCAAGTATCACTTTTGTTGGAATATGTTGCGGAAGCCAAATGTATATAGTGTGAATAAGTCACAACTACTATACCAAAAATTATGACAGCCACCAAATAATAAATAAGACAATAAAGCAACAATAAAGGGAACACCAGAATTTACGGGGTTCGGCTAATTTTGCTTACTCCTCGGACACAACCAATATTTTATTTCACTCCAAAAATACAAGTGAAATAATACTAAAGAGAGAAGATACATTAGAGAAGGCAAATGAGAAAGGCAAATGAGAGGTGTGTTTAAATCCTAAACATTAAGCCTTCTTTTATAGGGGGAAAATCCCCCCAACTTTTGTTTTCCCACCGATGTGGGACAAACATTTTGCCAAATTCAACAAATCTCCACCTTGGCAAAATTTCACATCTTCAATTTTCTCTCAATAACAAATTTTGGTTGTGTCTTCATCTTCAATCTTCAGTGTTCAACAATGTTGATCAAATCCAAACAATGTTGAAACTTGACTGCAGTCACCACCTTTGTTGATGATTTTTCTCGAAGAGTGTGGGTGTATACAATGAAAAACAAAGATGAAGTGCTGGGAATTTTTCTCAAATGGAAGACGATGGTGGAGAATCAAACAGGCAAGAGGATGGTGAAGTGCTCTGATACCAATTGTTGCGGAAGCCAAATGTATATAGTGTGAATAAGTCACAACTACTATACCAAAAATTATGACAGCCACCAAATAATAAATAAGACAATAAAGCAACAATAAAGGGAACACTAGAATTTACGAGGTTCGGCTAATTTTGCTTACTCCTCGGACACAACCAATATTTTATTTCACTCCAAAAATACAAGTGAAATAATACTAAAGAGAGAAGATACAAATACCTTAAACAGATGAGAAGGCAAATGAGAAGTGTATTTAAATCCTAAACTTTAGGCCTTCCTTTGTAGGGAAAATTTCCCAACCAAATGGCTAACCCACCGATGTGGGACTTTGCCAAATTCAACAGAACATTCATGCCAGCACTAGAGTAGGGTCTAATTAAGATTATCAGTATGATTTTGTTCTTTCCATATGGCTCTATTGCTTCATTATAATAACAAATGAGGCTTCAATTACAAGTAGAATGAATTCTTTTCGAACCCCCATATTCTGGATCAAGGTCTATATCCCAAAGCTAAGAAGCAGGGGCGGCCCGGCGAATTTTGTGGCCTAAATCCAAACTTTAATTTACGAGGGGCCTTAACTTTTTAATTTTTTTTTTAAAATTGATTTGAAGTCTTTTTTTTTTTTAGCTTTTTTGAGATACATAGTAATTTAATTTTCTTTTAATCATAACTCCTAATAAGTATTTCTCAATTGATAATATAGGGAATCCACTTAACCTTTCTTGTGACATTGTTGTTCTTAGGTAAGATTTTATCAATTTTAATTTTGAAAACTTTTTTCCGCTGAAGCAACGGTAACTTAAGTTATAAACATTATTCCATAAGTAATTTAGGCATTTGGAAAAGAATTAAATCTTTTTATTTGATTAAGTTTATCAATTAAATTGTTATCTTCTAATTGTACTATTTTCCTTAATACTTTTAATTCAGAAAATAAATCTAAACCATCAATATCGAATTGATTATTATGCTTTAAGGAACATTCAAGATTAAGGCAATATTTTTTTAAATTTCCAACATCCAGTGATCTTAGTTTTTACTGCCAAATAAAAATTAAAAATATCTTCATATGCTTCGAATTGTTCAAATCTATTTTGAAGTGAAAAAATAGCCTTGTCTATTATGCTTCGAAAGATTTTGGAATTTCATTATCAACATTCGCATCAAATTGTTACTTCCTATATATCACACGTTTCTTACAAAATTCGGGTTCGATATCTATTTCAAGTGTAATTTCCTTGGTAGAAATCATAGCGGTTGCAAATTGTTTCTTCTCTATATTTATTAGAAAGAAATAAAAAAATTTCACTTTACAGAATAATTTTTTAAACTTATACATAATCTATTAGATGTGACAAAAAATGAGGCCCCCACAAATATGGGGCCTAAAGCGATTGCTTTATTTGCTTCATGGAAAGGCCGCCCCTGCTAAGAAGCACTTGGAAGTGGGAGATTATGGTGATATAAAATTATTTTATTTTATCAAGGATAATTCTTACAATAAAACCTTACGAATTTTCCGGGATGTGTAACTAGACATAAATAATCACATGGTACAACTCCTCTTTAGCAAGTTGATTCTGAAGGATACTCTTGTTCCAGGTTCAAAGAAAAGGTAGGGCCTGGTGTCCGTGAATTAAGGACTAATTTTAATTTGGACTCAAGTCTGGACAAAGCTAAGAAGCCCTTGGCCTATTGGTACAGGCATGAATAACTCAAGGCTTCATCTATTCTTAAGAATTCTTCAGTGACTGGTGGTTTTTTTCAAGTTTGAAAAAAAGGTAGGGCCTATTGAAACATCCCACTTTCCTTTGTCCTATTGGTATGTTGTTATGGTTATTCCATCTTGTCAATGACAAGAAATGTGTAGGAATAATCACAATTAGGTTACATCTCTTATGTGGCAATTAGATTGTGATGAATGCTATATTCCAACTTTAGACAAAAGGTCGGGCCTGATGTCTTGATCTTATATGGACTAAAGATATGAATACTTTGACAATTAGTTGGAAGGCAAAACCATGTTACTTGAGGAGCTATTGTCTTCAGCTGGTACCCACTGAATAACTCTTCGCCACTATTTAACAGAATTCTCTTAGTTGCCATTGTCCTATATAAACACTTTCAAGAAGATGTCTACCACCACAGTTCTCAGCAAAATTTGAAAGATCTTCTGTAATTTCTTCTTTCTTTTCTCATCTGTACTTAACAGGAGATAATGGCAATTCGTATGCCTCGTATAATCAAGAAGTCTTCTACAGCTGGAGATGTTCCGAAGGGCCACTTCACTGTTTATGTTGGGGAGAAGCAGAAGAAGAAATTTGTAATCCCCATATCGTTCTTGAGCCAACCTTTATTTCAAGACTTGCTAAGTCAAGCTGAGGAAGAATTTGGCTTCGATCATCCAATGGGTGGTGTTACAATTCCCTGCACTGAGGACGTTTTTATCAACCTCACTTCTCGTTTAAGGAACTGATAAAGGAACTTGATTTCTCAATTTGTAGAGTACAAAAGCAGGATACTTGTATAGAAAAAACAAATTTTAATGTTAGAATGAGGTGGTAGCTAGTTATCCCTGTCAGATTAGGAAGAATAGTGAACTTTAGCTCCACAAAGACTGATTGTTAGTCCATGTCAAAGAGACAAATGACTTTACTTTTTCTACTTCA